TCAGATGGCACCCTATGGTTTTTAAAGAAAGAAAGGATGGGAAGAGAACTGAAAGAGTTTAGTGGTAAGAAGTGGAGAGAGACGGCGTGAGTTACTCCAGACGAGAAGTGGATCCGTGCTGGACTTTTGAGTGCCAGATAGGAGAAAGAGAGAGAGAGAGAAAGAGCGAGAGAGAGAGAGAGAGAGAGAGAGAGAGAGAGAGAGAGAGAGAGAGAGAGAGAGAGGAGGAGGAGGAATAGAGAGAAAGAATAAGCCACACATCAGCAAGAGTAGCGGAGGCAAGCGGACGGAGAGGAGAGATGGTCAGAGCGCAGAGAGATGAGAGGGAGGAGTTAACAACATGTTTATTCTATTCAGACTATGATGTTCAACTGCTTTTGCATATAATTTATTCAGTTTTTTTAGTTTTTAAATCGGGATGGTTTAAAGGAGGCAATTCCAGACTCCCAGAAAAGAATGGTAGACAATGAAGCATTTTTATTGACATGATTTAAAGGTGTGTAACTTTTCTGCTGTCAACTGCTGGTGTCATGAAAATGTTATTGCTTTGCCTGCAATGTTCCACCGTATGTTATTATTTATCTTTTATGTATTCAATTAGAGACATTTTTATTGCCAAAAACACTGAGCTTTATACCATTTTGTTGAAATTTGCAGGTAAAATGTGTCCATGAAGAAAAAAGGTTGGACCCTCAACGAGAAAACTTATGTAGTGCCTCTTTAATGTCTATTTTCCCTGGTTGACCATTAAAAACAACTTCCTATTTACACTGTTGTCTAATATTTCACACCAGATGTCCTTCCTTTCATTTATCCAGGCTTGGCACCCGTACAAATTGTTCACCTGTGATGCCTTTTGCAACCAAGATATATTTCTACTATATGAGATATCTAAAAATACTTTCTTCCACATTGCATATATTCAGTGCATTAACAAGGCCATTGGTAGTAGAGTGCCAATATGCAAATGTGTCTGAATAGGCAATACTAGTACGGTCTGCTACACTAAATTTTCACGATGTCTGCTTAGAGTAAAGTGAATCCAGGATTTATAGTGAATACATTTTCAGCTACAGCTCCTAGTAATTTGCAATTCAGGGGGAGAGAGAATGTACCAGCAAATGAGATAAAGTGTTACTTCTATAGACTCATTCTATATATTGTGTTGCAAAGGCTCCTAATGGGATTTATCAGATTAATAGGAAATCGCGAGCGTGTTCTTGAAAATGTCAGAAAAATAATGACTAAAAATAGAGGTAGGTAGAGAGCGGGAGGGAAAAACCGACACAAGGTCAAGAAAAGATAAAGCCTTTCACGCCCCATTTATCAGTGAAAAAAACTGTAAGGCACCAACACAATGAATGTAGGTAGAAAACGCTTGAATAGAAAACTATGTACTCAGAGATCTACATAAAGCCAACATGGTTAATGTATTAACCATTTTAGGTGGTATTTTTACGTCAAACACACAGAACGAATATAGAGCAAGTACAACAAGTATACTGCTAATAACAAGGCGATGTATTGATTCAACCATCTATCTTGATTAAAGTTAGGTGCCACAACTAACAGGGGCCAACAAATCAATTACATGCTTGATGCGGGGTCTATAATAGTAAATGGTTGTTTGGTTGCAGGTACACATAAAGAAACAGACAGTAGATAGTACACTAACAACACCATCACTATCCAAGGCTCCAGCTCCCATTTTGAGGACTATTTCCCATCTAAAGCATATAATATTTAGTTTTAAATTGTCATCTGCTATGGCAATGGTTCTAATGTTTATTTTATTATTCTGAAACCCATGGATAGGAAAACCTAAAACAGTCAAACAGTAAAACCTGGAACAGTCTTCCTGAACATGTGAGACAGGCCTCTTCTGTGATGCTGTTTAAATCCAGGCTCAAAACATTTATGTTTAACTGTGCATATAACTGAAAGGTTTTCATTCCGCACTCTTCTCTCCAATTTATGTCTCTCTTTTTTAAATTTTAATCTTCATGATTATTTATGTTTTGATTTGTTTTTATTATGATTTTAATGTATTTCTTATTCTGTAAAGCACTTTGAATGACTTTGTGTACGAATTGTGCTATACAAATTAACTTGCCTTGCCTTGCCTTGCCTAGGAAAGATAGAGTTACAAAATTAAAATATAGTGCTAAAAAAACAATAAGGAAGTACTGAATGAGTATCAATGAATGTCAAGTTTGTCACACCAAGAAATTAACCTGTGACCTCCTTGTTTGGAGGCACAAGCACCAGCTACTTTGTATCGTTCCAGCCAGTCATAATGGATGAAATCATGCACACTCTCTAGGTGACTTTGTCTTGTCTAACAATACAATACCAGTGAATACAAACGAACAAACATGAGTACAAATAATCCATTGGCTGTGCACTGACAGACTAGACCACAGGAGTATACAGGAGAGGGCTGTAATGAGCTCGATGTTTAGACAAGGTTTAGCTCACTCCAGAGTCCAATTCAGCTGTCCCACTGAGTATCGACTCCACTTCACAGGGAAGAACACCAGAAAACCACATTCACTCTTATTAGCACTGACAACAACAGTAAGTCTTAACTAACACTCTGAACCACTGAAAGATCTACCACATAGAAACTAAATACACTATTTCTAAGCATATTTCAATAATGCATCACAAAAAAATCACAAAATGTCACAATACATTTTTGAAGTTGGGATACTGAATATGTTTTGACTGGTAAATGAAGTCTTTTGTTTTGCAGTTATAATTTAATTTAATTTCCAGCTATAAAAATGCATAAAATACCTTCTAACTCATCAGACAACAAAGCAAACACTCAAATTTTGTCAGCGGGACAAACAACAGCTCACTTTATTGTCAGTAAAATGTATGACAAGTAAAAACAGCTAGAGTTCTCTCATCATGCATTAAACATGAATACATTGTCATGGCTTAAGGGTTTTAAGTTATAGTCATTTTCTATTCAGTCTATAATGATTTTTTGAACTAATGTGTCTAATTTGTATTTGTCATCACTCTGTCCAGAAGAATGAAGCATGCAGCGACTATAGCCAGTGGCCAAAAACTGTGAATAAAGTAAGTTGACACTCGACAGTAACAGAGAAGCCATTTTGTGTTAATGAAAGAGTTGAGTGGATAACCTCTGTTACAGCAGTTGTCCTTTACAGTCATGAGTTCCTGTTTCACTAAATCAACTTTATGAACTAAAACCATATATCAGCTGGAGTTTCAATGTCTAAAAATGACCTATACATACCCATTCAAAAAGCGAAAGTACTTTAAAAAAAAAAAAACTTTTTTATCTTCATAGCTGCCAAGATTGAAGAAGCTGTTACACGATATTTTACCAAGATCTATGACAAGTATGGTATAACTTACCAATGATGGAATGTAACAAAGTAAAAGTAGTTAAGTACTCTACTTAAGTATACATTTTAGATATCTGTAGTTTACTTAAGTACATTTTAAACTGATACATTTTACTTTTACTTCACTACAATTGAGAGCAGGTATCTGTACTTTTAAGTCCACTACATTTTTAAATGTAAAAGTAGTTTTTATTATTGTTTGAGACCTGCTGAAAAGGCTGGAGGGTTTATTTTTTAACACATTTGTAGTTTGAGCAAACAAAAATATGCAAATAAAAACAACCAGAAAAAAATAATAATAATGGTTTCTGCTGAATAAAATTCAGCATAAATCTTTATCAAAATCACTACATCTGAAGCTTTTTTAAACTTCAAAATCTGCACGGAATAGTTTTACTTTTTACTTTTACATACATTTTTAAGCAGGGACTTTAATACTTTTACTTATGTATGTATGTATTCATGTGAAACTTTTATTTTCACTTGAGTATTTCTTTGTTCTGGTATCTGCACTTTACTTGAGTACTTCTTCCACTACTGTACTTTACTGCTTTAAAATTATAAATGATGGTAAGTCAATGCGCATAATTTTGATTGTCTTAATCGGATTGACATAATATAAAAATTAAATGCAAGCACAGTTTAGCAATAGTTCATAATGCCCCTATCAATTTTGCACACTCATTCCCATCTGTGAGTGGCCAATCTGACAGTTCTTATTCATCTACACTCAGATTCTCTAGAGACTGAGATGCACTAAAGATTAGTCACGACAAACCACTTCACTAATGGGAAGCGATTTTAACAAATACTCACTAAAATGTCATTGGAGAGAGTGAAAAAATGACTGAAATTACTGCGTATGACAGAGGACAGTTTTTGTCCATTTTGCTCAAGGACAAGCAGTTCAAGAGAAACGTTCAATATCTTCACACAAACTAGACAGACTCAGTGAAAACAAAAAGACAATACATTTCTTAGAAAAGCACCCGCACCTTTTCAACACATCAGAAAAAAATTCATAGCCAATAATGAACTAAATGCATTGAAATAGAATTAAGTCATTGATGTTTATCCACAAACACAATGTGTCTGTTTTCTAGAAATTACATTTGTACATTTGTTGTAAAGCTTTTTAATCCAAAGAATAACAGTGCATTGAAATCAACTTTGAATATCATCATACACTGAGCATGGTGGGTAGTGTCTTGCCAAAGGGTGTATGCAAGCAGGAATCAAACATTTAGAGGTTCATTCACTGGTTCTACCTATGGAGTATGTGTAGCCCTGTCATGAGTATTACTATGTGTACTTTTTATTGGGTCTAGTGAGGAACATTTTGTTATTTTTTTTTCTGTACTACAATAAAAGATGAGCACAGGGTTGAATAAATAACTTGTCATTCTGCTATTTATGTACAGCAGCTCATGTTTTTAACAATGCACATTTTATTTTGTTGTTGAGAATACTGCTTTAGGGTTATTGACTCAGTGTTTCAATACTATCCTTTTTCTGTCTAAATTTTCTTCAGCAATATATCGCACAGTAATCATGACAAGCCTTTGTATGTGTATATTGAAGTTATAGGTTAAAATAGGCCAGACTTGCGACCCCTACCTCCATCTGTCTCCGCAGCTCCTTCACGTGGGCCGAGTCCTGGGACACGTCCTCTCTTTGAGAAGCGTCTGCTAGCACGTTCACTGTGGTCTCAGCCTCGTGGAGCCATTTCAGGAAAGACTCCAGCTCTCTGAGGGAAGCCTGCAGACCTTTGAGCTCACTGTCCATCTGTGCCTGATGATCGTTTGCCCTGAAATCACATAAAGCAAGATCATGTAAAGGGTCAAAGTGAGATTTATACTTAGAACTATCCATCCTATTACATCTTTCAAAGTAGTTCATAAATTATGACAAAAAACATGATTGCATTTCTCAAATTCTGTAGAAAACTGTTGACATTTATGTTACATGTGGGCATTTTAAAGGTCCTATATTAAGCAAATTAACATAGTGGTGTTTTTTTCATTCACGCATGTTTGAGCAATGCTGCATTACCAGTCAGTCTACGTCTCCCAAGCTCAAAATGCTCTGTTCGACTTTGTAATGTCATGAAGCAGTAGTTTTCAAGTTAACAGCTACCTTTTACCTTTTGTTCAGTAGAGTTTGGCCAGGACTCAAATTATCCAAATGATTCTAGTGAACGTGTATGGAGTTTAAAAACACACTGGAGGACTTCCTGTATTACCACATGACATTACAAACTGGAACAAAGTGTTTTCTGTTTAACACATAAATTCTGCATATTTAGGCTGAGTCTAACATGTGTGAATAAATCAAAACAAAATTCCAGTATGTTTTTGATGAGGAAAAAACACTATAACACTGCTCAGAAAACAGCATAATATGGGCACTTGAACCACTTGGACTACCCATGCCTCCCATCCAAACTCAACTAGGCAACTTTTAGACTCCGAGTTCCAGGTTTAACCCCATTTTGGTTTGTGGAGCCTTAGATGACAGGTCTGTTAGTTGTGGCCTGTTGTGACTTTTCATTTTTTCCGTTCCAACGATTTGAGAACCACTTTGGCTACACTTTGTGATTTATATTGTTGTGAGGCTCCAGCGTTTGAATACATTTCATCCTACTGTATATTATGCTCTTGTAAAAGGGAATAGAGTGAGAGTGCACCTGTTGTTGATGCCATTCCAGGCTGCATTGTGCTTGTCTGTGACCTCTTTAATCCTCCGGGTGTCATCCAGAGAATACTCCTGAAGAAGATGGTTTGACAGCTCATTGAAGTCTGCCACAATCGTCTGGCCGCGCCCCAAATCCTGGAGGAAAGCCTGGAAAACAACAAAAGAATGTGAGCGTGTACTCCAAATCAAAGTGAACGCCACACTGCACACTTTCAATACATTATTTTGCTTGCCTTTTTATGGATGGAAATAGGTATATGTGATAAAACTATAACATATACTATAATAATACAATATAAGTATTTGAATGAAATATCCTGGATAAAAAGTAACTATTCACAAATACTCATGTTACTCTAAACGAGAAGTTTTTTTTGGGCAGTTGTACTTTTTGAATCCATTTTTAACTTGTGCATGTAATTTTGAATAATTGCCACCATGTAATTGTTGTTAACTACTAAATTATTGGAGTTACAAAGTACAGTACAAGTCCCAATCGTACCAATGAATTGTCCTGTGGTTTGACAGTATTTCATGATATTTCTTCACACAAGATTACATGGTAAATCAGGTATTTTAGATTAAGAACATGATTATTGTTTACTCTTAACATGATGGAAGATTTCATCTTCACCAACATAAGGTCTCATACTTGTGGCTCTCATTTTGATTGACCACAGTTTCCCTCTAGTGGCCAGCTGCAGTACTGCACAATGACTCATTTATGACCCACGCCTGTGCTTCATCATCCTACTAAATTAAAATGATGGATCATAGATCTATAAGTAATATTAGGTTCAAAGTGGCCCTGTCCTTGTTATTTATGAATTCTCACACAGGCTTCATCAGTATAAAGAACCTGTCAGAACCAGTAATAGTCATGCAATAAAGTTTTAGTTTCTCTCTGGGTATTAAATGAACAGACAAAATCCTATTCTAGTATTAAAGCAAGGTCATATGAGGTTTATGACTTAAGGAAGGACCCTGGGGGCACAAAGCAAAGATAAAATCCAACCTTGTTATCAGAAATCTGTTTGGTCAAAGGGTCCCGGGACTGCTGCAGAAGGTTGTGGAAATGTCCTTCGTTACGTCCAATTAAGGCTGTGACCTGTTTCCTTTGCTCCTCCCACTGGTTACTGTGACCGATCATGTTATCCAGCTGCTGTAGCCGAGCTTCAACCCCATGCTGTGTGCTGTCCCACTGGCTGCGTACCCTCTCCACTGCAAACACATTTATTGGCTGTTATTCATAAATTCTAAATATTTAAACAAAGGCAGACGGTTGGTTCTAGGTAAGAGACATTGATTAGCAATTGGTAATTAACTTACATTTTTCAGTAATGGAAGTCCGAACATCTAAATTGGAGGTCTTGTTCTTGATGTTTTGAGCCAAAGTGAAAATGTCTTCTAGCTGTGGGTGGCGCTGCTCCAAGTCACTCTTTGTCACCTGTCATACACAATAAATCATAGACATTACAGTCACCAATTTGGAATATGTTTTTATGGTAGATTTGGCAGTTTTGGCATGATTTATACCTGGAGTCGTCCGATGGTAGTCCTGATCTCATCTATGTCGCCCACAGTTACGATGTTAGATTTGAGCATCTGAGTAATAAGCACCAACCAGTCTGCCAGCTCAGTCGCAGTCTTGTTCAGGTCTGTGGGGGCCACGAGGTCTGGGGTGTGGGGGGTTTGGTGGTGGGGATCTTCACTAACTAGACTGGCCATTTGCACAGCGGAGGGTACTGCAGATACTAAGAAGAACAGATCAAGTTCATGCATTATGCTAAAATGTGGAATGTAAATTATTCAAGATCAGTAAATATATGCACAATTTTAGACGCCCAAGGACATTTTTGCAACAGTATTTGGTCTATTATTTTACCGAGCTGTTGATGTTGGACTACGTGAGGGTGCATGGTCCACGGAGAGACGGGAGCTTGCAGAGACTCCCTCAGACGACAATCTAGGGCTTTCCAATCAGACGCCAGCTGTTCTACTTTACTCTATAAATGACAGATCAAAAATATTATAATGTCTGCCACAATTACACAAAATGTAAACATATAATTGTACAAAAACAAATATCTTTTGAAATAATATTCCTCAGAATTTTTGTTTTGGTACCAACACAAAGAAAGAAATGTATTAATGGTTTACTATTATGTGATATTTAGAAAGTAGTATTGTATTTTTAAAAACAAATTGTCATATTGTAATATACATAAATCTTGTACATGCTTGAAGAATTTGTACATTATACTAATTTGACTTCCTTTATTATTTTATCTATTGAAATCCTTTGCAATGACTCACTCCTGCATAAGTTTCTATATTTCAAGATGCACAGTAAAGATGTTACAGAAAGCTGTCACCTTATCCTGAGGCTGAAGCTGCTGTCGTCTCTGTAGCTCGATTGACAGCGCCAGCAGTTCCTCCAAGTCCCTCTTTCTGTCTTTCATGGAGGTCTCCAAGGCCTTCAACAAAAACAGAAGTTTTTTTTTATATTTTCCAGACATATTTCTTTATTTAGCAGACATCTTCCCACCTGTGCCTGTGGAGGAGTCAGGCCTCTTGTTGCTATGGTCTGGTGCGTAATAACCACCCAGTCGGTCAGCCTGTTCATACGGTCCTGGAACTGTGCGTGGAGGTGCACATTGGACTCCACCTCACGCACCTTCTCCAGCAATTCATGGGTCACCTATACAATGAAAGAGGAAAATACGTAGAATATTTATCAAAAATGTAGTAAATTTAGTAACAAAAAAAATTGATTGATTGACTAAAACATCTACCTTGCTCCAGTTGAGATTGATTGTCCGTAGTTTGGCGACGTGATGGTCTCTGCTCTGTGGGCTGACGCTTGGATTGGAGAGAATGTGAGGAGCGTGCTTGTTCAACCAACCAAGTCGCTCATTTTGAGCATCCAATTGCTCAGCTAAGGCCTAATAGGAAAGAAAGAACAGAATCGAAAGAAAATGACAAAAAACTCAAAGAAATGTTTATGATGTTCAAACCAATCCAATACGTCAATACAGTTTTTTCCAATAACAATTTATTTTTGTATAGCCAAAAATCACAACAGCAGTCAGCTTGCAAGGCTTTATCTGGACCACTGAACCCAAAACATAAAACTGCACCTTTATTGTACAATAGGTGTTGTGTCAATGTACTGCTACTGTGTAAGTAAATATGAAGTTAAGTATTTGAAAACCATAACCCCTTCTCAAACTCACTCATTACATCCATAACGTAACATAAGTGTGCTCTGGACCTTTTATACCTTTAGTTCTCTGAGGTTCTTATCAGTGGCAGTGAGAGGGAGACAGGTGACCGCATTTTCTGCCTGCTCCAGCCATGAAGCCAGCGCTGTACTCCTCCTCATCAGGTCTGAGAGAGCCGAATCTGCCCCTGCAAGCCTACACACACACACACACACACACACACACACACACACACACACACACACACACACACACACACACACACACACACACACACACACACACACACACACACGGAGATAAACATGAGATTAAGATCTTCATTTCTCACCTCACAGATCTAATCCTGAATTTGCATTTAAATCACTGTTACACACTGATTGACTCAGGTGATAAGGACGATCGACCAAACAATGAGGAGAGGTGTAGAGAGAGAGGGAAGGTCAACATTGTTAACACAGGACAATAAAAACACTTGTAAGGTTTTATAGAAGGGCAGTGACCACCAATCGATTCTAGCATCAAATTAAAGTGTATCAGCTCTAGCTGGTTTGATAAATATTGACCACCGCTAATTGGGAAGATGTTCTGCCCAGTTATGTCATTATAATTTATCCCAAACTAAAAAGAAATCAATATTGCCACAAAAACAACAAAATGGGGATAAAACTGGCTGGCCGAATTTATAGCTCCAAACATGTGATGTGTGAAATTGCTTTTGGCTAGTTGTGTCAATAGACAAAAAATAATAATACCAAATCACACTGATGTCAGCAGTGATATAGAATGTGATGTCATCACATTCTATAAAGCTTTGACTCTTTGTGCTTGTGGGTAACCGAGGTTCTGGGTGTAGACATATCAGGGCGTAGAAGACCGACTGTGTGACAAGCGAGTGAGCAAGTTCGTTTGTACCTTTATTAACATACGTCAGAGAACTTCTACATCTACAGTGTTTTACAGGAAGCAAATGGCTAGCAAACCTGATAACAACTGTGAGGTGGAGGAGCAGTGGGCCCCTTTGCCGAGTCGCAAACAGCGACAAAAGCAAAGGAGAGCCCTCCTCCGAGAGGAAGAGGATCAGACTATCTACAAGGACAATCTTCTGCAGGTCTCCCAGGAAGATCTGCTGAAAGAAATACAGATGTTGAGAGCTCAATTAAGAGAGGAACAGGAGGAAAATGAAAAGGAGAGAGCTCTCCATCAGGAACAATATGAACGCAAGTGTGTCTATGCAGAAAATATCCAGAAACAAATACACCGTCTGAAAAGGGAGAAGTCCACTGCATGTGACAAACAAATGAAAGATGTCAGGGCAGAGGTAAAGGATGAGCTCAAGGGACAGACCACTGCCAACTCTTTACTTCGAGGGCAACTTAGTCAAGTCAAGTTGCAGGAGAAAGAGCTAAAGGACCAGATTGCCACTCTCACCCAGCACCTGGAAAAGGAGCAGGTGGAGAAGCAGGACCTGATGAGTCTTGTGGCCAAACTGCAGTCCTCCCTCAAGGAAAAGGACCAGACCCATGCAGCAGCTCAGACCAGAGTGGACATTCTGGCCCAGGCCAAACTTCAAACCCTACTGGATGAGAAGGTGAGCCTGGAGTCAACTGTGGCAGAGCTTAGGTCCGCTCTCTGTGTGGAGAAACAGTCTGATGATGTCCTCCGTGGCAGAGAGAAAGAGCAGAGCCAAATAATCCAAGAGGAGAAGGCAAAGTCATAAGCCTTAAATCACACTCTCGAAACAGAGAGAAGAACTTTTACGGCTGTGATTGAGTGGTGCCACGCTGCTTATGCTTCTCCTCTGCATCTAAAAGACCAGCTCGCCCAGAAACTAAACAAATCCAAGCAGGAGATGGAGCAGCTGAAGGTGCAGCACCAGGATGAGCTCAGTGCACTACAGAGCACTGAGGAGAACAAGAGGGCCCTGCTGCAGGACAAGATCCGGGAGCTTTCTGAGGCTCTGACCTCTTCAGAACAGACTAACACTGCTCTGAAGAGACAGAACCAGGAGCTCCAGGACAAGATTATAGCCGAGGAGGAATGCAGAGAGAACATCAATCGAAAGAAGAGGAGAGGATGGTTTTCCAGGTTCTTTCGTCGCACTTAGACCACCTGGAGAATTGAATGTACTTTGAGAACTAAAAAGTTCTCATCGTCCATTCAATTGAATGGAAAATGGTTTGATGGAACAATTAGCTCACGTATGAATTCTTAAATTTGTATTGGAGCTAAGGTGTGTAAATGTGTGTGAATGTTTTCCCTTCTTACCTTTTCATTAATGTTTATTGTTATTAATTGTTATTTGTTATTTATTTATTTGTTATTTTTGGTTTATTGTTATTTATTTATTTGTTATTTGTTTATTGTTATTGTTATTAATGTTTTCATATAAAAGAACTGCCACCTTACCGTGGTGGGGGAGTTTGCGTACCCGAATGATCCTAGGAGCTATGTTGCTCGGGGCATTATGCCCCTGGTAGGGTCTCCCATGGCAAACAGGTCCTAGGTGACGGGGCAAACTAAGAGCAGTTCACAGCACCCTTATGAACTTAGAAATATCGAGCACCGTGACGTCGCCCAGTATGGCGCAGCCGGGGCCCCACCCTGGAGTCAGGCCTGGGGTTAGGCCTCGAATGCGAGCACCTATTATGGCTACTTCATCTTTGTAGCTTGATTATTTCACAGTGTCATATGTCATCTGTAATGCACTTTTTACACATGTTTTTCCAAAGCATTTTTTTTTTCTACAAATGGCAAATAAACTAACCTAACCTATAGGCTGATGGTTTCAACTGACAGCATGAAAAGGCCATAGCATTTTGGTCACACTTCCATGATTACCTTCTCTGTCTGTCCAGGATTTGCCGGTTAACGCCTCTCCACCTCTGGCCCAGAATCTGTAGCTTCTCCTCAAGCAGGGAACCATCAGGGGAGGACAACTGCTCAATTATTTTCTCCCCTGTACGATTGAGCACGGCGAGGTCTGCCTGGTGACTCGCAACTCCATCCTCCAGCTCCTAAATAATAATAATACAAGGACAAAATGTGGTAAACACTGGGCCAAATGTATGATCTGTTCACAGTTCCCATGCTATTAAAGGTTTGCCTGAGAATGCCATCTTTCCAGTTCCTTGTATATTATATATACAATCGCTATTAAACCATTAGGATGGCATTGTCAGGCAAATTAAAGGTAATGGCAACATGACAAATTTTCTTTCTAAAAACAGGTAAGAATATCTGTATATCTTGTTACAGTCAGTGGTCAGTCATCATGATCAAATCATGATGCTCTAAATAAAGAAACAAATATTAAACTTGAACCGTGTTAAAATAGACTAAATGCTTTTTTTTTTTTTTTCATTTTGGTTGTTTTTATTGTACTGAAAAACAGAGAAATACATGCATCCATATTGTGAGCAGGATGGCATCTCCACAAACCTGACTCTTATTTGGCCTTGAGATATTGCAGATAAAGCACTACCACCAAAGCATTACATTGTGAAGCTTGCTTTAAATAAAAAAAAAGTTAAGTCTAGTTAATGGCGCCGCTCTGTCTAATAAAGTGTTTAAATATAAAATAAATCATATTGAAATTAAGGCCACTGAATTGACACTGTAATTTAGAGTGCTCATGTTCATCTATTACCTAATCAAGAAATGAGTCTGTTCAGTTGCATTGGAACAGTGGAAATCAAACATAATTTATCCAAATTTATCTCAAATTTTTCCCATTGTTCATTACATTGAGTATGGTGTGGTTATTAAGTGTATCTAAAATGCATAAGATTAGTGTACCAGGAGCTGTATATCTGGCAGCATATTTTCATTAATATACATAGCGTGATTTCCCATGATGCCTTGCTGACCTGTTGGTGCTGCCGGACCATGTCCAGGTCGAGTTGTCCATCAGGACAGACACTCTCAGACAGAAAGGCCTCTGTGTCTCTCAGCCACTGACTCATGTCATTCATATCACAGTGAAAACGCCTCCACTCCTCCACTGCTCGGTCAAATGTCCTGGAATACATAATATATACAAGACCAATAATATTAAGAGATAACTAATTTATAATCAACAGTGCTCCCTCATGCATAAAACATAATAATAAAGATACATATAGAATTCCTTAGGATACAACCAAGTCAATCACAAATGTTATTGTCAACAGCTAGAGCTTTGACCTGTGTTGTGCCCGCATCAGGAAGAGGCTGATTGCATTTAAATACCTAATCAAAACAAGATTCTATCAAGATGGTGCATTCCACTCTCCACTACATGGTATAATGAATCAAGTCAGAGACAAGCTGAGAAAATTAGTTTTTGTGGTGACCGGAAGAAACTGTGCTCACAGCCAAAATGCGTTTGTTTAGTGTGCAATCTGCAGAATTAGTTTACCATTTATAGTTGCATGTACTATAAACACAAAATTAAGAACAGCAAATGAAGACTGTTGTAGCCAAAAGACTTCAGAACAATCAAGGTTACTCTGTTTGTGGATTGTTTATGCCTGAGGAACTGTTGCGTGCTCAAGGACAATGTGCTTTTCTATTTTCTGTGTGTTTGTCTTGGTCTTTAACTATTACAAACTTTCAAACTTTCTTTAACAGTTGACGTAAAAGAACAATAACTTGCTAGGTACTAACTTGTAATAACTGGGGACATTACGTTTAATTTCAAAAGTGAACTTATACAGTATTATCATTTACCAATCATCCTCAATTTTGTAACATTTGTTCATGATGTCTTTATTCATGCTTTATTAAGATTGTTACTGACACTTTTTAATACTTTTCTATATTTATAGGGACTAACCCTTTGCGGTGGTTGTACATGCGATTGATTCGGTCCCATTCAGCATTGAGTTGGGTAAGGGCATCTCCGATTTGGGTCACCTCTGCGGTCGAGGCGTCCTGTATAGCATCTGGCTGCCGCTCGTGTATAGCAGTCACCTGGTCTTCCAAAACCTCCAGGTTCTCTTTGATATTCTGCAGAAAACACAACAAAGAAAACAAAGAACAAAACCAATTTAAACGTAACTCTTTATAGTGAATGTGTGAATTTAATCATGTAATTTAGTTTTAAACTGAAATAATACATAGTTGGTATTATAATGTATCCCAAAAAATTACACAGAAGAACAGTCAGTGATTATAATTTATGTCATTATACCTCCTGCAAACCCCGTTTAAAATGTGATGAATTTTTATCTCAGTCTTAAAATACACCACATTTACAGATTGTTACATCTACATTTAAATGTACATAAACCAAAATTTCTCACTTTTAGCGTGTCTTCTTGACTGGAGAAATCCTCATACAGGCCACCGCTGAGTTCAGATGAGTTCAAGAGTAGCTCATTGTCAGCCATTGCAAGCAGCACTTTGTTGATAGATAAGAGGTAGTCAGAGGGACCACGAGAAGGACCTCTGCTACGATCAAGAGAGGCCATTTCCTATTAATAAACACAAAAGAATGAACTAATAAGATAATCACTGAGGATATGCCAATGATCAATAATGCAGTCTATGAACAGTGTGCAAGTATGTGTTTACCTCATCTGAAATTCCTCTTGTGTTTTCAATAAACGGGTGAGTTGTTGTTGAATGAACCTCAATCTGCCTGATTCGTAGCAACCTCAGTTCCTAATAAAAAGACAAATAGTTAACAGACATTACATTAGGATACAGTAATTGCATATATTTTGACAGTGAGTCTTACCCTGTGTGCCGAATATTGGCTCTGCAGTTTAATCAGCAGGATCCTTAACTCTTCTTGTTGAGCTTTGTCTGAAGTTTGTTCTAAAAGTTCCTCTCCTTTTCGAAGTAGCTCCTCTACATTGGCTTTTTCCTCGTCCATCTAAAGTACACACCACGAGGAAAACATGTTAAAATAGTTTGCATTCAAAAAGAGCTTGCTCTAAGTGTAAAGGTTAAGCAGCTGCAGCTATTTCCGTATATAGTCAAATACACTCCATTGCTCCTTGAAAAGACCAGTGACCTTGCGTTGGATTGGTTAGCTTGGTCAGCAGCTCAAAGCGTTAAAAAACATTGATAAGAGAAATTTAAACAGAAGACACGGCCTCGAAGCACGTTGCAAAGTTTATATTATAAGCTCAAAGAATTTCTTTAATTTAATTCAATACAATTTTAAATAGTGAGTAGTTTATAACCTAGCTTCAACCCTTTTCTGATGAATAGCTCTATTGTAGCACATTACGAGATTTATTTCATACATTTTTTTTCCAATTTTGAATTATACATGTAAAGGTCATGCATAAAAATGTGAAATTAATTATTTCATATAATCTGTAGTTCAAGACCTGTTCATAAGAGAAGGCCAATAGTGTCGTAGTCAACCAAAATGTCTTTAGTTTATTTAGTTTATAAATGTATATGGAGCGATCTGGGAGTGAATTGTGACTTTAGTCTTTTTTTATACATGTAAATACCACAGTCTATGGTTTGTTAGTATTTTTCTGCATAATATTTTACCATGAACTTATATGGAGCTGCATGAGGTTTTACATTGTCAGATCATAGAGACAGAGAGCTTTTGTCATGCCCCTTTTTAAGTCCACTAATCAATCAGCAGGGTATCTTTTTAGTTAATAAAGAATTTCACTTGCCTACAGCCCTACAAGTATAAACAGAACATTTTTCTATAGCTTTACAGACTGGTATTATCATATGTGCACTCTACCTTTTCATCATCCAGTATGTTTTGGTCGTCTTGCTGCTGTAATGCCCTGAGCGTGTCCTGGAGCTGTGTCTGAAGCTCCTGCAGCTGTGTGTCAGTCTGCACCTCAGAGGAGACAGCCTCACTCTGGGCGTCTGTTGGGTCCTCTTGGTTGGGAATAATCTCTCTATCTTTATCACTAAGCAAGACCTGAAATGAATCAAAATAGTTTTTAAAACAAGCAATTACTTACACTTAGACTTGAAAAGATTTATTGTATCTTTAAAGTAAAATTCAATAACAAAACAAGTGTACTTAAATATTATACCTGCTGAGGAGTTTGCTGGAGCATTTCCACAACATCAGAGTCCAAAGTGGTCAACATCTGAAAGAAAAGGTAATATTTTGAATTATAAATGTCTAAAATTCACTAGAGCTTTGTCTTTTCAAAGGGCCAGATCATCAAAAACAAACAAATTAAATGAAGCAATATTACAGTATTCTCTGATCTCTGTTATAATGTTGTTTCTCCATCAAAAACATACCCGGAGCTGTATTTTGTTTCATTCACACATGTTTAATACACAAACCTTACACATTTAGGTTGAGTTCTTCTCTCAAACAGAAAATCATCTGTTCCACTTTGTGATGTCATGGGATAATACAGGTAGAGCTTCACAGTGTAAACTCATGAATTGCCAATCTCGCTGGTCATAGAGATCATTTTGACCATGTGATGCATTTGTGGGGGTTTAGGACTGGGGGGCTCAGTAAATACTATGTACTCACAAGACGCACTCAAGGAAAAAAGGTAGGAGATCACCCTACTAAATTATATGATTTGTATATGTTGAAGAAAAGTGTGTTGTACCTTGGCTGTTTTGATGTGTTGTGAAACTTTATCAAAGTTGCAGTTAAGTTCAGCCAGCTTTGGCTCTATGACGTCCCGACAGGCAGGCCCTCTGCTGGTCATTAAGAGAACAGCTTGGTCCCTGACATTGTCAACACGTGAACTCATCCCTTCCAGCTCATCCAGGATGCGCTAAGACACATACATAAAAGAGTTATTTGTGTTTTACTTGAACTTTGTGCCCTATGAGCAAATTACCCTATCAATCATTTTTCTCAACCCAGGTGGTGGTGAAGCCTTGAATCTAAGTTTAGCACAGCATGTACAAGGCTAGCAACAAAGGGACCAACTTTGTATTTTGAGTAGTCCTTCAAGTGTCACAACTTTAATAGAAGCTAAAATTATATACCAAATGATCAAACATTATGACCAAATTTTATTCTCTATCTAATGTTCACGTACCTTGACCACCTTTTCCCTCTCGGCAGGTTCCAATCTCTCTGCCTCATCCAGGTGGATTTGAGTCTGATACATCCAGGTGCTGATGTGGGCCAAGTTCTCATCCAAAATCTCAACCTCATTTTGGTGACTCTACAAACATAAAAAGCCATGCACAATGGAAAATATTAATCTATGCTTTCTTATTAAATTCTTAAACATTGGCACTTACCAGTACAGCACTGAGCCAGTCCTCGGTCAGGGTGCGGACTTGGCCCCAGGACTCATTGAGGCTGAAGAGTTGGTCTTCGAGCTGAGCCTCGCTGCCCTCCACTAGAGTCTGCAGACCTGCGCTGGTTTCCATCAGACTGGACAAGTCTGCCTTACGACGCTCCGTCTCCTTCAACAGACCCTACAACACAGAGACATTATCTACTGATGATGGGCGAAACTGTGTGGGTGATTGTAAAGGTGCACTATCTAACTTTTCTTGTGGGAGGTCTGCTGCGTTGTCTTCATGGAGATGTTATTGTTTAATCTAGAATATTCCACAGTATGGGATTCATGCATGTTTTCAATTATGTGTGTGTGTTTTTTTTTATTATAGGTGCCTTGAAAAACATACATTCCTGGAGAGAATCAGGTGACAGACCCTTCACCATAAAATTTACATAATGCACCATTAAATAAAGTTTTTATTAGACATAATATTTTGTCTTCAAATTGTATTTATTGGAACTGGAAGCAGCTAAAATGTTAAAGGGAGGAACTGTAATTGATAGACAAGAGGCATCTCCAGAAGTGCTATTCGTGAATATCTCTCTGAAAAGTAATCCAAGCAATATGTCCGTATCATGTCTTCATGTGTTCAAACTTACATTGGCCCACACGACCTCACTATCGATATCAGCAGGCATGTCTCCACTGGTGTTCTTCTTCTCCAGCTCAGCCTGGTTAGTGCTCAGCCACTCGTGAAGAGCAGCGCTCTCTTTGTGAAACTTCTGAGACAGGGACAAGGCTTTTTCTAGGTCCTGTTTTCCCTCTGTGACCTGTTAAATAATACACATTTTTTAACCAATAGTTGCATTGCCTGTGTCTTAGTATGAAACATTGCTTACCTGTGCACCCAAGTCATTGTAGAGCAGTTTAAGGGCAGTGAGTTGTTCATCCATTGCTTTTGGATTTTCTGTTTGTTGTTTTTGAACAATCTGTCGACCAGTCTTTATAACGGTCTCCACCTCAAGCTTTACCTCACTCAGCAACTTGTAAAGTTTCTACAAGGAGAAGAAAAGACACAATTAGAACCTTATCAACCCAAAACTGAAGCAATGAAATACACATACACAAAAAAAAGATAGCTCTCACTCAAGACAGAAATTGTGAAATCTCTTAATTATAATTAGTCATGCATTTTATTCGAAAGAGTTTTATTTTCAAAGTGAACATTTCTCACCATACAGCCGGTGAGGTGTGTCTGAATCTTCTCTGGTTCTATGTCTCTCACATCGAGAATATGTAGCTCTGACTTGGCTCCTTCTAAGACCTTCTTGCAGTCCACCATCCGTTGCTCAAAATTGGCTGGCTTCTGAAACAGCTGGTACTTGGTGGAAATCTCTCTCAATTTCCTCTGTGGGCAGAATTTCCAAATCATGTTTTATGCATTTATGTCATTTCAGGCAATATTTTCCAGACAGTTCGAAGTCTGCTGTTCTCTGTGTCTCTACTAGAGGGCAGTGTTACCTGTAGCTGGTCCAGCATTGTTCCTCCGCGGGCAGCCTTCCCATCAGTGGAAGGAGGAGGCATGTTGGCAACATTTCTCCTTCTCATGTCTTCTACTGTGGCCTCATGGGCAGCAATCTCAGCACCAATAGTCTGAAAGAAGAGAAACATTAACATTACAATACACTATGAAGTTGTTTTTTTTAATTATTATTTCTCCCTATAATTAAAGTTTAAAATCTACCACAACACAAATGCTTGTGATGAGGAGCAGCAGAAAAATATGAGCAAAATATTCTATGTGGCATTGAATGAAAAAGGGAAGAATCTCTGGCATTAACAATAATAATGACACTTATGTAATAGAATAAATACACTGTAGGTTAGAGATAATGAATAAAGAGTTTGTATTTCTATAATGGACACACCGATTCAATAGCTGCAACATCATAATCATCATTTTTACAGATTGGACTTTAATATGTAACACTTAATAATAACTATACTATTTACTGCCTTAATGAAGCACAAAGGAAGATGAAATTAATAATGAACAAACTGTTTATTAAGAATGATTCAAGTTTAGTAACTACTTAATTAAGGGGTTAGGATTAAAAGTTAGGATTCAGGTATTAATTAAGTAGTTATTACGCTTGAATAATTCTTAATAAAATCACTTGTTGTAATTTGCTATTTAAGGTGTAGTTATTATTATTATATAGTTGTTAATTAATGCAGCTTTCAGGTTTCTATATTGGAAAGAGTAAAGATAGTTGAGGTACCTGTGCCTCGTGTGGCAGTTGGAAGGCATCGATGCGGTCTGTCAGGTAGGAGGTAAGAGTGTGGTCCAGTTGGCTCAGAGACTCCTGTAGAGTGAGCAGAGCCTGGTCATTCTCCTTCAGAGCGTGCAGCTGCTGCTCCAGGCTAATCTGACGATTCACCGCCTACACAAGGTGCAAGAGCAAATCGTCAATACGTTAATATGCACAGAGAAATTATATGTCAATGATTTGGAATAAAAATACTGAATTGAAAACCTAACTCCTATGACATTTTATCATATTTATATATTTTGTAAAATTATTGTATTTCTCTTTAAATGCCTTTGTTATTTCCACTGGCAATCCATAAGTCAATCACGTCTATAAAAAGAAAAAAGTATCTGTAGTTGGATTGAAAATGTAACCAGTAAGACATCGTTACAGTCATATATTTTCTAAAATGATTGTATCTAAACGGTATTTTGTATCTAAAATGTATTTTGTTATTTTAATATGCAATCCAATACAAAAATAACTGGTTTAATTTTACTGTCTGTTCAAATTTGGGGTCACAGTCACTTTGAGCCTGGGCCGATTAAGGGCAAGGAAATTACTATTATACTAAACAGCAGTCATTCAGAGACAGACTGTGGACAGCTGCTCACTCAAATAACCTAACAATTTTAGATTAACTCATTAACTCTTGTCAGCATAACTCACAGGACAGTAGGAAAAGGCTGTAATACTCATATTCACCTCAATCCAAACAATACAATATGGAATATAAGGCAGTAAAGGCACTGACCTGGTGGTTGAGCTGCTCGTAGCGCGAGTTAAAGTTCTCTAGTTTTTCACTGATGAGTTCGTCCAGGATGCCTCCGTCAATTAGTGTCTGGCTCAGCTCTCTGATCTGGGTGCGGTTGTCTGATGGGTGACGAAGCACACTCTCCAATGACTGGAAATTAAAAGTAAAAAATTTAAAATAAAGTTGCAATAAGAAAAAAAAAAAACATATTTTTTCCACATATACATGAAATCAAATGACAAGATAATCTAAAGCAAAAAAGTGCAAAATACCAAAGACACAAACTGTACCAGACACAGAAGAGAAATAAAAGATTAAAGTAATTAAGTATTTTTAAGTCAGTAGAGGTCAAAAACGTGTACACTCCACTAAAAAGTAAAGTCAAGTAAAATAAAAAAGTTAAAGTATTAAAAATAAAGAATAAAAAACACACCAATATTGTGCAGATGCAGCTTCGGCTTGATGTGAGCATGTTGCGATAGCCAAAAAAAATGAATCCAAGACACACTTGCGCCAGAAGCAAAGTCGTTGTTTAAGCAGTTCATCAAATATGTTTTAATTCCCCGAGGTTATAGACAGTGACAGCCTCTTCCAGACACATTTTTGCTAGATTAAAATGCAGCAAAAATGATGGGTCGGGGAGAGAAAATAATCTTTGAATCTGGTCAGGAACGACAGTAACATCAAGAGGAATGAGAAAAAGGTTTTGTCTTTAAGGATTTTCAGTTTTCATCATCTCTATGTGAAGGCACAGGGGCAATGCCATGACTAGAGTGGTTCTGACACCTGGACCTGCAGGCTTTATTCAGATATAGCAGCGTACCAGGCAAATGAAGACAAAGTCAAAGATAATGAGGTTGAATAAGTACAAGAATTTAAATGCAAGATAAATAATGAATGTAAGAACAGCATGGATTAAATTACAAAATTATGATATCATTTTCATATAACATTGCAAAGATTTATTTTATCTGACATGTTTCACTTCTGCTCACTTGTTATCACTTAAAATTTGAAAAAAATATCAAAAGGAATATATATCAACTGAATTTGGTAACCTGAGGCAATGCATGTCAAATTTCATCGTGTGTCTTTAAGCAGAGCATTTGCATTTGGCAGTAGCTCATTAAATCTAATCAAGTACCTCCAAAGCTTCATTAACAGCGTCAGCACTCTCTGGGAGCTTTTCTGTGGCTTGGACCTTCTCCTCGAGTGTGTTCAACCAACTTTGCTCCATTTCCAAATACTGAAGCAACTCCATCCAACAGGACCACACTTCCTACACAAAATACAAGCAGACACAATAGTATTTAGAAAAATTATAACTAAATAATGTTTATACAAGGAGACAACTCTATGAATGCATAAGAATGTAGCTTAAGGGTAAGTCTAACCATGAGGTTTTGCTTTACATATTTGATGTTTGCCCAGAAGAGACTGAGAAACAAAGGTCGCAAACAATGGCATTACACTCAAATTTCTCACATAACATTTTACATAATATAAATATATAGTGCATAAAAGGAAAGGCATCTACCATTAAGACACTTTGAAAGACGGTGAGTGTGGTTAAATAGAATAAGTCATATATAATTTCCTACAAAAACAGATGAAGTAATGTTATTAGCTGATACGCTTTGGAGTTACCTCCAGCGTGTGACACTTGCTCTTGAAGCGGTCACAGAGCTTCTGGTAGTTGCCCAGTACGCCCTCCAGCTCCGACGTCAGCCCGGGTCCATAACCTCCACTAGGGGGCGATGTTTGAGACACAAGCATGTTGATGTTGTCTTTAAGGATCTTTACTTTCACTTCTTTCTGCAGCACATCCTCTTTAGCTCTCTATGAATAAGAAGGAACAGAAAATGAGATAAAGAAGCAACTGTTTTTGAACAATAGTAATCCTACCTTCATCTCATCCAGTGCAGCCTCCAGTTCCTCTGGGCTCTTGTACTCAAAGTCTCTCATAAGAAACTCCTCGTCAGTTTGTGCCATCCACTCCTGCATCTCCGCCAAATCCTTCCTCAGATTCACCTGCCTTTCCTGGCTTTCCGACACACAATCCCGGTGACTCAACAGCTACAGATGGACAATAGAAAGTCCAGAACACAGACGTCAATATAGTCCAGAATACAGGCTAGAGCGCAGTATACAGTTTAATGATGGGAAATAAATAGCTTTATATTTCATAACATTATTTAAATAAAGACTGGGCGATATGGGAAAAAATTTAAACTTTTTTCCTCATCTTGATTTTTTATTTGATAAAATTTTCTTTTTCTTTTCAAAACTAAACAAAACTGGAAGTCAGTTTTGATTTCCTAAACAAAAAAAGACAATTTCATCTCCCACTCTTAAATTATATGCTTTTACTGACATTTTTGTGTCAGCTTTAATTGACTTTTACATAATTAAAAACTGATTAACAGTGTACAAAATAAATAAATAAATAAAGTAAAGGTTTTCTCACCCGTTTGCTGAGCTTGTCCCACCTGCTTTGGCATTCGTCCAGTTTGTCTTGTCCCCACTTTGACAAACCGTCTATAGTTGTGGCTTGTACAGCCCTCACATTCTCCGCCATCTGCTTTAATGAACTTTCCACAGACTCCATCTCATTCACATGCTCCTAAACAGAAACCATACATTTAAATGACATTTTAAAATTTAAGTGGTATAAAGTTTCTTGTTTAAATTACAACCTTGCACTGATTTAATTCTTCCTGTAGATTTTCTGTATCTCCGATCCCAGAGGCGTCCCGGGACAACAGCTCTTGCACTGCGTCCAGCCAACGCTCCACTTCCACCAAACGTACCTGAAAACAGTTAGTTTTAACATAATTTATAAGACAATTTTATCATTTTTGCAAAGTCTCACTAAGAACAATCATTAAAAACAAGTCCAAAATATACATATGACTCGACTTGACTGTATTATTAGTATTACTTTTTTTCAAATCCACTTTTCTATAACCTATTTTAATAGTTTCAAAATGCTGCATATGAGGAAATAAAAACATGAGCCGATGTAATAATATATGCTTCAGGGCTAAACAAAGAAAAGTATTAAAATCTAATAAAATCTTATGAAATGAAATAAAAAACATAACAATAAAAAAGAGAATAGAAAAAGATAATAGACAGGTCTTCTCTCTCCAGTCTTAGGAGCCATAAGCTGAAACTAGTTGCTAAATTAATATAAAAATATTTTACGAATATCAGCTATGATTTGGTACCTGACTGTCCTTCATGCTGCCCAGGACACACTGCAGTGTCCCTAGTTCCTCTCGAGCCCTGGACGACAACTGGCTCCATCTCTGCTGTTCAGCAGGGTCTGTGGCTTGCTGGGTTTGTTCAATGTCAAGACACAGACTCTACAAAAAAACAAACATAAAAACAATTATTTAAAAAAATGCTGCAATAACACATTGGTCTTACATAGCGCTTTTCTAAATTCTCAGGTGCTTAAGAATTATGTGCATTATTCATTCATGCTCCATGCTTGCTACACTAAAGCCACAGCTCCCTGAAGTAGACTGACAGAACTGGAATCACCATTGAAGCTTTTGATAAAAAAAAATAATTGCACAATCGTTACAAAATAAATTACCCTTAGCAACAGCAACAACATAAGTAAATGTACATCACTGTAAAAAATAATACACCAAACACTATGTGGAAATTGGCTTTGTTTTTAGTTTCAATTACTTTAGTCAAATAGATAGTGTGGCCTCAGATCTGCTATAGTCAAGGGACTGTGTGTCGTCTACTGTGTGTGTGTCGACTGTCGAGGCTGAATGACTGAGCTGTTACACACTCACTGCTGCATGTACAGGCACGCTACCCACAATGTGCCCAGACCCTGCCCCCAATTCGGCACTGTGCCTATCTGCCACAATAACAAGAGCACGAAAGGATCAGCATTCCTCCCAAAGATGGAGGCGGAGGAGGGAAACACACTCAAACACACAGGAAACATGAAGCCCATAAAAGGAGACCATTGTTTTCAAAGAACTACAGACAGCGGACATAGATTAGCACTTACACTGGTATATTGTTCATTTAACCGCACAGGCACCAAAGTGACAAAAAACATGTGGTGGCCAGATTGCAACTGATCCAAAACATGATACTGATAAGGGGTCAGTTAACAAAACAAGCCTCATTTCACCTTTCAAACAATGAACTTTTGTAACTTTGTAAATTGTATAATATATGTTTTGTATCTGTACTCACTTGTGCCCGCTCCACTGCCTCAGATGTGGTCGGGATGTCCACCAGACCCTCCTTCAGAGTGGTCAGCCTGGCCTCCAGTGCCTCCACTTGACTGGGCTGCTGTTGGCTGGCCTCAAGTTGGACCAAAGCTGGAACAAAATTTGGGAATTATATTAAAGTTTAATTATCACCCTCACCACAATGTGCCATCTATAATTAAAAAATAAAATATTTAGCATTTGTTTATATGTGTTTAGTTTGTTTGCTCTTATGGAGCGATTATAAGCCTAGTCGCACCACTTCCCCTTTCTATAGAATTCTTCCTCCCTGTACTTGTAGCAGTTGTATTTTAATTACCAGGTAATTTAACGCTTACATAATCTAGTATGCACACACACTGAGCGTAACTAGTGGAGAGCTGTATAGACATACAGTGGGGCCCCATAGATAAAGGGTGAATGGCCTTCAAGCAGAAACAAAATGGTTTAGTTTGGCCCCTGTCCAAATCCCCACAGTCAGAAAGGCTCAAAGGCACTGAGAGACAAACACACACACACACATGCACGTTAGATCAGGAGATGACAAGCCTTCTTTTAGACAATGTTTTAGCCAAGAGCACTATGTATAAATTCCACAGGTAAAACGTCAACTGATTTGAAAAGTCACATCAGCAGCGTTAGATTTTTACTCATGTATTCAACATCAGTGTGCTTAAAGAGACCATATAAGGCCAGAAACCACTATTCTTGGCTGTTCTCTGATTCACAATATTAAATCTAGCATTTACATCTCACTGTCATGGAGACCAGAGATAATTCATGAGAGCGTCTCTGTTTTCTTATAAGGGAATGCCTGAGGGCTGTCTGCTCCCTTGTCTGAAACGTAATACTATTGTAATTACCTGTGGAGATCTCCTCCTCTTTGCCATGTAGCCTCTGCAGAGTGGAGGCATGATGCGCAGACACCAGCACCACTGTGTCTCTGAGGGAGGGTCCTGCTTCAGTGGACAAACGCTCCAGCTGTGGGCCCAAAGAGGTCACTTCGGCCAGTCTTGACTAAAATGACAAATAGATATTCATTATTAACCTGAAATATTGTTCATTGAGATTTAACACATGCCTTTTTCATTGACATGCACAGATTTGTCAGACATTAAGTGATGGAGCGTAGGATATCTCACACAGCCAATCTGCTGTCATCCCAAAATTTAAAGGTCCATTGCGTAATTTTGCTGGTAGAGGGCCTGCCATCTCTTTGTTTCCATGGAAACAATATTGCTTTTACTGTGATCATTGAGTTATTCAATATAATGCACTCTGTCTGTCTGGTAATGTTAAAAATGTTCAATAAACTATGTTGAAGGAAAAAAGGAAATGTTATTGCTTTGCCTAGAATGAAGTGTGACATCAAACTAAGTCCATGGAGACAGACAGGCACGATCAAGCATGTTACAGGTCAGATCAATGGAGGCGGGCCTGTTCACTAAACGTTTTTCAAGGTATTTTTGGCAATAAAAACACCTGTAATTGAATAAATGCTGGACAGATTTTTAATGCCATACTGAGGACCATTCCAGGTAAGATCATTTCCATGGAGACTTGCAACTGGCAGAATCTACATCAGAAAAGTTACACAGTGTACCTTTAACATAGCAACAAACTGTTACAACTCTTCCTACTGGGATTGATAAAATATGTAACAAATACATGTACATGGTGCATAGCAGTCCTCTTTTGTCCTTAATTGCCTTTTTTACTCTATATCCTATGGGGAAGACAAAATGTACGTCTGGCAAGGTGCAGAAGACAGAGTTAAGGTCGTGGTTTCTTTCTGAGAAAATAAAATGTGATGACAGGTCCATTTTAGCTCCAATGAATTACTTAAAGTAAGAAAGCAGAACAAATCTCCAGACATTAATTAGCAGTCATACAGTAGTGTGCAGTATGTGGCACCCTCCTTTGAGCATCTGCACTCTATTTGCTTGGATCCAACTATTCCAAACAAACTTACCTTGGACTCTTGACTGAGGTTGCGAAGTTCGTCTGCATCACATTTGTCCACTGTAGTTGAGATGAGCCAGTTGTCCTGTTGGACGAGGGCCTGGTCCACCTCACTGAGTTCTGCAGAAACAGCTCTAAAGCGGCTCTGGGTCTGTACTCTGTCCCGGGCTGCCTGTCGCTCCCTCACGCACACGTCCCACTCGGTCTGTAACAGCTCCAGGTCTGTCCTCACCAGGTCCATGCTTACACCCTCTGCACAGCAATCAGTCGTTTTGTTTATATTCAGCAGAGAATAGTAGATCCAGTGATAAAAGGACAGTGGTAGAAGGTAACAAAGTAAAAGGGGCAAAGTACTGTACTAAAGTTTTGAGGCATCTGTATCTTTATTTGAGTGCATTTTAAAGTAGATACTTCTCACTTTTACGTACTACTCGACTACATTTTTGAACTGCACTGAAAAGTAACATTTTTATTATAGTTTGAGACCTGCTGAAAAGCCTAAGGGCATATGTTTAATATAATTTTAGCTTAAGCAAACAAAAATATACAAGGAAAAACAGCTAAGAAATTGTTCCTGTTGAACTAAATTCAGCAAAAATCTATATCAAAATCAGTACATTTGAAGCTTTATTACATCTCAAACTGTGCAAAATACTTTTAATTTTTATTCTTTAAGTACATTTTTAAATGGACACTTTAATACTTTTACTTAAGACTTTTTTTTTCATGTGATACAGTTACTTTTACTTGAGTAATTTTTTGTATCTGTACTTAAGTAACAAAACTGAGTCCTTCTTCCACCACTGTAAAAGGATATAAAGGAAGGGAAGGGATATGAAATGTAAAGCTTCATACTCCCAAAACTACCGTAAGCAAATCAGCAATCTACTATGTTTTTCTGGAGGAAGAGATGTTGTGAATATATTAAAGTTGTAGTTGTACTCCTGTTGTACTAAAAATAAAAAAGTAGTGCTGTTTACACACATACATATATTGAATACTTCATCATGTTCTGTTCACATGAATCTGTGCAAATTGTAAAATCATTCGGCTGTAATCTGAATCATAAAACCTGCAGTCTGATAAATGTTATTACATTATCCATAATTACTTAACAATAAAAAAGACAGACTATAAATACCCTACATAGTATGCGGCAGTAAAACTTTGCACTATGAACACTGTTTTACAAGGAAGTCGATTTTAGCTTAATAGGTGGGCAGGTACTGTGAGTCATTCTTGCACTATTCACACAGTTTTCGTACATGTTCGTACTATAGCTCCTCTTTCCTGTGAACCTTTAAATGTGCAGTGACATTCACCTCTCTCCAGCTGCTCCACCAGACCTCGCCCCTCCCGAATTATTTGTGCGACTGAAGCTTCCTTTGAATTTAGCTCCTCTTCCAATTCCTAGAGAAATTAAATATAGACATAGACAGTTACATTATATTTTAAATAACTCAACAATAACAACTCCACAATAATAATGTTTACATTTAGTTTGCCCTGTAGGTCACAGGTATCAGTTGTAGTCTCTAGATTTCCAGTGGCTAATGTTTGCGTCGTGGTCTTCCATGCTTTTATCCATCTTAGAAAGTCTGATAACTTATTTTCAAACCTAAAGACAAAACATATTCATGGTTAATTGTAATGCACAACACATAGGCTCTGTATTTTATAGCAGTACACTTACTCTTGCCTAACTTGTGGTTCAGTCTCCACCAGGCGTTTCTTTGGAGGGGCAGGGGGAGCTACTTCCTGGCTGGTACTGGAGGACACCACAGTTACAACAGCTGAATCCGCAGCCACCTGCTCTTCCATTTGAGTCATCCCACCATCGGCTACGGCTTCCATCACCTATAAGTTATACAAATATGTGCTCTTTTAATCTGTAAAAAACATTTCAGTCATTCAAGGTCCACTTTACAGACTTGAAAGGAGTAGTCTTCTAGTTTCTGCACCAGGTTGTCCCATCGGTGGGTTAGCTCCTCAGTATCTGTCTCTATCTTTGCTCCTGCCTCAGAGCTCCGCAGTAAAGACGTCACATCCTGCCCTGCATCAGACAGCTGGTCCAGGGTCCGCTTCTTCTTCTCCATATCCTCTTTAAGAATCTGTTCACAATAAGCATTTTTACAATCTAAGCTACTATAGGAAGTTTTATTATTTATTATTTTGCAGACAGTCTTTACACTTACAGCTAATTGACGTAAATTTGTATTCATTTCACTTTGGTCCTTAAAGTTGCTAGTTTGGACTGTATTCAAGGCCTCTTCTTTCTCTGCCAACCATTCTCTAAATATAGTCTGACATAAAAGATGGAAAAATATTTGGATTTGTCAAAGTCATGTAAAGTGCGATATATTATAAAAGGGTTAAAGGTCAAACAATGTATGTGCATGCAAAGTAAAATTATATCCATACTTCAAATATTGGAAATGTTTCAGGGGAATATTTTCTACCTGGTCTGACTGAAGTTGTTGCCAGACCATGAAGACTTCCTGCAGCTTGTGCCACCTCTCCTCTGTCCAGCGACACACAGCAGCCCATCTTTCACCTAAAGACTACAAGAGATAGAGATTTTAAGCTTTATCACCTACAGTAACCCGCATTATAAGAGCCTTTCAGAATATAAAATGTGTAGGTTAATACTTTAGTTTAGGGACTACATATTTAAGGTCCTATATCATGCAAAATTGACTTTTAGCTTTAAGCAGTGTTGTTACCTTCGCAAAAACATACTTCAAGTTGTGTCTTGTTTTGTTCACACGTTTCAGTAATACTTTATTATTAAACTGTCTACATCTCTAAAGTTCAAAATGCTCTGTTCCACTTTGTGATGTCATGAAGCGGTAGTTTTCAAGTTAACAACTACCTTTTACCATTTGTTAAGTAAAGATTGGAAATTCCAGTTCTGAAATTATCCAAATGATTGTAATGAAAGTGTATAGAGTTTAAAAACACAGTGGAGCACTTCCTGTATTAACACATGACATCACATGAGTGAGAACAGCCCAGTCTAGATTTGCAGTATTTGTGTGTTAAATATATGTGAATGAAATAAAACAGAACTGCAGGTATGTATGTGATGAGGAAAAACATTATAACTAATAAGTAGATCAGAAAGTAGCATAATATGGGCCCTTTAATGGCCCTAACTAACAGTAAAAGGCATAATTAGTGCTTAATTACATCTCTGTTAGTATTTATAAAGTACTTCAAGTATTTAGCCATAAACTGTTTTCTTCTCATTAAATACTCACAATATATAATTTTGTACAAACATTATAATCTTAATAAGCAGTAAATGTGTGTTATAAAGTGTTTTATAAATACTAAGCTGAATAACCACAAACTAGCATACCAATTACCACTTAGTTTACCACTTACACCATTCATGTGTGGTCTCTAAACTCAAGTGTTACCATGTGTAGAAAGATGGTGTGATACTTACTTGTAGTTGCTCCTCCAGCGCGGCAGTGGCGTTGTCCCCACTGTTCTCATCAACCACCACCACCATGTGTGTTAGAGAGTTCACCTTCACCTGCTCGGCCTCCAGGTCGTTCTGAAGCATCTAAACACAAGCCATGTAAAAATAAGTAAATACAATACATGTGTGATATTATTAATATAAATTTCAACTTACTTTGTGTTGCTCTATTTGTTCTGTGTATGTGTCTAGGTCTTTAGCCCCTGGTTCAGTCTCAATCTTTCTGATTCTGGCCTCAGTTTCTGTGAGCCAGTCAGAGAGCTGCTGTAACTGCTGCTGTTGAAGTTCCATTAGGACTTCATGCAACCTGGAGATAAATAAACACATGCACAATTACAAAGAAGCAGAGTTGTCAAACCATTTGATTCCTGCAATGCAGTTATCAAAACTAGATACTCATTTGTGTAAGTATCTATACAGAAGAAATTACCTAATTAGAACAAAATCGAACCTTTTCTGAAAGTTTTAGAATGGTCTTCAGTTACTCTTGATCATTTTCAGAATAAGCAATAGACCACATGGTAATACTACAACACTACAAGGGGGTGCACCAAATAATATACAATGATGCGTTAGGACCTGGCTTGGCGGTCCATGCTGGCCACTCTGAGACTCTCCCAGCGTGAGTTTAAAAGAGTCATCTGCTCCCGGATCTCTTCTTCCTCCTCCTCTGAGAGATGACCCTGAGCAATCAGCTGGTTTCCGGCCTGAAGGACGTTCCCCACACTGCTCTGGTGTGCTGTCAGCTCCATCATGAAGGCCTAGAGACAGAATGTATATTTTCAGAATTTTCCATTTTTAGATCAAACTGGAAACTTTTTTGTTTTTTGGTGGTGAAAAGACATTCAATAAAACTCCTGCTGTCTTTGTAGCAACATAACATAAGAAACTGAATTAACGCAGAAATATATACAGTCATTTTGGTGAGTTGGAGGAAGTAGTTTGGAGTTTGAAGTTCAGTAGTTTGAGGAACAAGCTCAATCAAATGGGACAGATTTTTCAAAGCTACTCCTGGCTGTTAAGCGTAAAGAGGCTTTGAGGCTTGTTGTGCACTGTCAAACAAACAGCTTTCTGCTTTGACCTGAATTCCAGACATTACACTGCTGCTTTGGGATCATATCATTTCACAGTTCAGACACAAAGTTACAAGTACCTGCCTGTTGTTAATGCTCAAAATTTAATGTATCGTGACCAGTCATATTTATAGGCACCACAATACTGCACTATAATAAAACAATTAAATTAGAACTCCATTACCAGCATTAATTTGATTTAAATGATTTGCCTGGAATGTTCCACTGTATGACATTAACTTACCTAAATTGCATTTATTTATTAATTACATTTGTTATTATTGTCCAATAATACCTTGGAAAACATGCATCATACTCTGAGCTCCACAGATCTGACTTGTAATTTGACCTAGTTGTACCACCTGCTTGTCTTATTGGAGTTTAACATTCCAGTCAACGCAGTAATAATAGCATCTGCATGGAAGCAAACTGTGCTGGACCCTCAATCAGTACATCTTTAAAATACTGCTTACAATGTCTCATACACAGGTCCTTCCTCATGTGTGTAAAATGTTTCTTGACTTCTTCCTTGACAAGCAAACACAAACAAGCAGGTGCTCTCTACATTATTTTATGCACAGGTCTTACCTCATGTGTGTGAAACTGCTCCTTGACCTCCTCCACGTCATCAGACACCTCCTCCTGCACGTGTAAGGTGTCCTCTGCTGACAGAAGCCAGGTCAGCACCTCCTCCAGAGTGGTCTGGTAGGTGTCCAGGTCCACCTCCGAAAAGCTCAGCTCCATATCCGGCTCTGTCACTGTGCTGGGGGTCTCGGGACGGGGGCTACTACCTGCCTCATCCCTCTGAGCATCCAGGGAAACAAAACAAGTAAACACCTTATGAGTCAAATTGTCAAACACTCTAGATGTTATTTACCAATTTATAGAAATGTATTCGTGCAATGACCAAACAAAACCCTAAGTAAAATGACTATGGAGGTTTTCGGTTTTAATCTCTCAGTCGTCCATTACGACTGAGAGAATAGAATTTTTCTTTTACTGTGACTATAGAGTTTCATTTAATACAGGTTTGTAAGTGTTTTATGTAGACATTTTCCATTGCGTGCATGATTTTACATTCTTTTTACAATAATCTCCAGGTTTCAAAACATTGGATTTTAATATAGATATTTGTCATCTACATATAATCACTGGTTTTAATCACAGTTTTGTTATAATATCCATGTTTGGACAGTAGCATCTGTATTACATTACATAGGTTTCTGCGTCACCCCTGTTCAAATCAGAAATCGCATTACACTTTTGGCAGGGGTGTGGGCAGTTAGAGCATATAAGGTGACATGCCCAGCTCAAAAAAACATTAGGCCTTTCATGAGACAGGGAGGTGCCGGGGCTCGGCAAGTCAGTCCTCATTCTAAACACAATAGTAAGCCATAAAAATAGGTACTACTGTGAAATTTAGTTGTTGTTACAGGCTTAGAAGATTACATACTGCTAATTAAATGCTAATGAAGATAAATTAACAATCAATTCACCAAGAAGTGGGACAAAAGTAATGGCGCAGTTAAGTCGTAATAGTGGTATTTACAAAAATAGTTGCAGATAACTGTAGGAGTGGAAGCAGTAGCTGGATAAGAAAGATTAACATTGTTCTACCCCATTTAAAAATTCATAGTTTAGTGAATTACTGTTCATTCCATAATACGCATTATCACTGACAGATGTTTTTTTAATCTGATACAGAAAGGTGCACTACATAAGCCTATTTAAACCAGAAGGTGGCTGAACAATGTCCAGGGTAATCATTCAGGATTTAGCAAGGCCATCAATTTTGTACTCAAAGAAAGCACATGGTTAAAAATACAATTCAATCCATTATTTTTCACTGCATTCTCCAGCACCAGCCATATGCATCAAGTCCTACAGAGCAGAGGAAATGTGCCAGGAAAAAGCTCTTGTTGAACCAATCCAAGCACTTTTAAAGAAAACTTTTCCAGCACTTGTTCCAGGGAGTGTTAAGTATGTAGTAGTAAACTCTTGGGTGGTTTCTGGAGATTCTAAGCACCACAATTGCACCATACAACAAATAATATACATCAAACTTGTTATATATATGTTCTAAAATAAGCATTTCATGTTCACTTTTTTCCTAAAGTCCCTCCAGAAAATGTATCAGCAAGTAATTTTGTATTTAGTCATTAATAGTAATGGTAAGTATATTGTCTTGATTTAATCCCAATAATCTAGGTTTAGTCCTGGTTGAGTCATCAGTCAGATGTGGTTATTTTCAGGTTTAACTCCAGTGTGGGTCTGTTTTTCTTTCTTTTACAGTATTATATTCTTGCCAGTTTAAACCAAAATTACAAGGGTGAGTCATAGTTGTGCTCCCAGTGTGACTGCTCCTGCTGAGTTTTATCACAAGATGCAGTGGTGGTAAAAGTGGAGGTATTTTCCAGGCGGGTTTAACAAACTATTGGAACAAATGAAGCCATGCTACAGACAATGCAGTTTTATGAATAAACACATTTATTTTAGGTGATTTTGTTAGAAATGAAGATGCAGAACTGATTTTGAGCAGTTTTAGAAGTACTTCTCTGGTATCAGTTTGACCCCGAGTTAGACCTGGTTCGGAATGGTCCATCAAAAGCAAAATACTCTCTGAGAAATGTACCTGAGCAGTGAGAGCAGATCCAGTTTCTGCCTCCCCTTTGTATTTTCGAGGCAGTGTCTCTACCTCTCGGATTGCATCCATGGAAACATCTTTGGGCAACACAGCAAACAGCGACGTCACATACATTAAAATGGACTTCTTGTCCGGCAACTGCACAGCAACATCTGAAAGAGACAGTGAGAGGTCTGGTTACAAAAAAAGTCAAACAGATCTGAGAATTATTGTGGGAAAACATTTTATTGTATTTAGAATTTCTGAGTTGCATTTAATTATTTTTACCTTCAGGGTCCAGCAGTTTCTCAATTGCAAGCTGATTTTTGGCCACAGTAAAGGCATTTTCCAGCCTTTCCACAGGACTCATTCTGGTCACATGGTCCCAGTTAATTGCATTCGGTCTGAACACAAAAGATACAATTTGACTGAAACAGTAAACAATAAATGTGGAATTCAGAGGCTGGATAAAGTACTGTTCCTGTTATTGCTAGGTTTCAGATGGAATCACATCTCTTGGTCGATAATATTTAATAGAGATGGGGGCAGCTAAAATTATTACTGTTAAAATGCAGATTTTTGTTGTAAGTTCTTGTGTCTAGTCAATAATAGAAATGATAAGGTTCGGGTTCCAAAAAAATTTTACTTTTCGGATATTTCATGACAAAGTACATTTTATATACATTTTGTTAATTTCTATGGAAACAGTCTTACCTTTTGATCATTCTCAAACGCATGAATATATATAAATATATATACACTATAGGTCTCTCTACCTCATATACAGTCGGGACAGACTGAAAGTGGAATGTGTGGGTTCAGTGATCCACTTAAACCCTGGTCTAAGTCTAAACCAACACAGTTTTTTTCTCACAGATCAGAGGCCTGTGTGTGAACGGCTACGCTCCACAAAGGGTTACACAGCAGAGGAGCAGAGATCTATGACGCTGCCCTCTTCTCCTCTTATAGATCAACAGAACAAACAGTGACAGGGCAGGCAGAGTACGCAGCAATAACTTCTCTCATCAGACAACACTGGAGCACATTATACTGTATGTTAAGCACATATACACAAATGAGGTATAAGCAATGGTTCCAGCTTCATTAAGGATGTTTTCTCATTCAAAATCTATAATATTTAGTTTGAAACTGTTAATCACTATAGAAGCTGTCCCTGTAATTTTGAAAGCCATGGGTAGATAAGCCAACTCAACAATCAGAAAACTGGTTCATAGTAAATCAACCTTTCTATCAGATCCAATATTAACGTGGCCAGGCTTTCTTTGCCACATTTTCATCTACTTGGACTACTTTTGATGGATGCTCTTCACAACACACCACATAGTTTGTCACAAGTTCACTCATACTGTACTCCATACGACTTTACAACAACTCACCCTTGTACCGGTAACAGATAACCTTATGTCATGTCAATCACTACTTCATCTTTGCACTTACGACCTCTTGTATGTAACTGAGACATATTTGTATTACTATATTTATATGTTTTATTTGTACTTGTACATTTACATTTGTATAATTCTGCCATACTTGACACCTGTTTCTTGCTTCTTGCCATTTTTGTGCTTTATTATTATATTTATTGCGATGTGTGAGCTACTGTTTCCAAATAATTTCCCTTGTGGACCAATAAATTTTGTCTAAGTCTAAGCTTTTTAAATCATTGCTGGCAAAAAAAGGTTAAGCGGCTGCTAGCCACACTAACTGGACGCATCAGCTGTTACGCAATTAGAACTTAGAAGGCCACTGTTAAACAAACAAGCTTTCTCAAGACAAATGTTTATAGCTGTCTAATAAATCGTACTAACATTAGTTTGTTGCCACACACTCATATCTGATTAACGCAGCTAAAATATACAATGATTTATAACTGATGCTGTCTGATTGTATCAATTTGCTAAATTCCTAGCGCACTCTTTCACTCCCAAACAAGATCAAGCTAATCCCGCCTTAACTCAAAACAGAAGAGGCATGGCAATTTAGATTATGGAGAAAACCTTTTACAGCAGTATTTTATAAGCATTACCCAGAGGCATTTTGGCACGTAATTTAAGCAGGAACAGGAGGATTTGGTAGGCAATTGAAACTTTTTGTTGCTCTTAACATGTGTGAATCATTTCATTTACCTAAAGTGGTGTAAGATAGCGTTGAAAGCCAGACCGTCGGACCAGCTGGTAGTGAAGTTGAGCACATTGACATCTGGGTAAGACCTAGTGCACTGGCGCACCCAGCTCAGCAAGATCTTCTCACTGTTGGTTTGTTGCAGGTTGGACATGATGTCTTTCATGACGTCCTTCACCTAAATGCACATATGGACAAGCGAAAATAACAGTTGTTTATCATGTGACTTATATAGTATTATTAATGGTGCTTTATGTAACTTTTCTGTTGGATTTTCTGCTTTTCTTCATGGAGATGTTATTGCTTTGTCTTGAATGTTGCACAGTATGGCATTAAACCTTTCTATCTTCATGGACATCAAACCAGACCAAGTTACAGGCCAGTCTATGGAGAGGCAACCCAGCCCACAGTCAGAATGCCTGTTTTTCTAGGTATGTTTTTGCTATAAAGCCACCTATAATTTAATAAATGTAATGTAGAGCTGTTTAATTCCATACTGTGGGACATTCCAGGCAGCTGAATGAAAGAAGCGGGTGAATGAACCTCAAGCAAAAAATGACATAGTTACTTTACGTATGAATAATAATTGTCATCGCTACTGTAACTTAACTGATTTGTTTTTTACAAATGTTACAATGATTGCGGCACTGTTCTAATAGGTGCATTACTTAATATTTTCTTGTGGGGGTCCATCAGCTGTTTGCCTACACAGATGTATTATTGCTTGGAATGTTCAGCAGTATGGCATTAAATGTATCACTGTGGCGAAAAGCAGGTGACAGCATAAGCTCAAGGTCAAATCGCCACCAAAAAAGTTAGTGCACCTTTAAAGCATTTAAGTGGATATGCATTGAAAGAAAGCTCAAATGTGGTCAGCAGATGTCGGAGGACCTGTGTCTCACCTGCCAGTGGAGAATAATGCTCCAGATGAGGCCCAGGGTGAGTTTATGATTCCCATCGACGATATCGGTGCCCCCGATGTTTACCAGCTCCACCTGCACACACAGAGCAAACACTTCACATGAGAAAAACACATCTGCAGAAAATACAGAAGTGGAAAGAAGAGATATTTGGACTTTTTAGTCTATCAGCTATCAGCCTTATCATTTTGTTTTGGGTGATCTGCAGCTTAAAAATACTCAGAGGCCTTTACTTGAAAACTTTAGTGCAAATAGATAACTGCTGAAAATGTGACTACACAGCTTGTACTCAAAAAAGGGCTGTGGGTGATTTTATTAGTCAAATTAAAGGTGCACTTTTCTGGTGGAAACTCTGCCAGCTGCTTTAATTACTTTGCTTGGAATGTTCCATGGTATGACTTTAAGCATACACATCTAGCATTTATTCATTTTGCTGTTCAGAAATATAATTATTCCTTCTGTGAATAGGGGCCCCTCTCCACAGATCTGAACTGTGCTGTTGCCTGCTGGTCTCTCTTGTGATAAATAGGTTTAATCTATACTGTGGAACATTCAAGCAAAGCAATAACATTTCCATGGAGACAAGCAGGTGGCAGAGCCTCCACCAGAAATGTTAAACAGTGCACCTTTAAATGACATAATTTATGATAAAAAATCGTAAACTGGCCAAACATATTCACCAAAAAATATCAGTTTAGCAAAAACCCACCATCTCAGTACTATACCTCTGTATTAATTAGTACATATATGTAACTGCAATTTGAAAAGGCTGTAATTTTATTAGTCATTAACATTTAGAAAACAAAACCACGCCTGAAATTAGCAACATACAGTAAAAGTTTCCAGTCTATTTAAAGGAGAATGTTGGTCTTCAAATGTTTAACAAATGTTTACAAAGTTAAAGTACATCTGGACAGCCTTAAGTGAAAGCAGGGGAGCAATAAAAGCATAACTACAGTGAGGAACAAGATGTGCTTCTACACATTAAATACTTGACATTTAAGGTAAGGTCACATATTCAGACGTCACTCAAAAGAAATATTTTTAAATTATCAGTCAAAGCAATGGAGCCGATACTAAACTGTTCCGAACTCAAGAAAGATGTAGAGGTTACAAGCAATTTCCACAAGACTTGGATCCCACAGCTAAAGTCAGAGTATTAAGACCAACCATTGTGTACAAAGTGGAGGCGGAAAAATGAGCAAAAGTGCAAGGGCAGCAGATGGGCAAATGAAAACACAGGGCAAGCGAACACAAAATGATCCATTCAAACAGAAGGTCAGTGAAGTACACAGGATCTGCAATGTAACAGAAAGCATGTTTGACCCTGTTCAAAAAAAATTCACCATAGTTTTACTTCACTGATGTCTGAATGGAGCTAAATAATTACAGGGCAAAAATGAAAATTGGGTACGTACGTTATTTTGATGTAGGACTTGAAGCACTTTGTTGACGTTGTTGAGGGCATGTACTCTAGTGGAGCCTCTCTCTTTGGTCTGCAGAAGAGGAAACAATACAAAATTACATCAGTTACTTCCTGTTAATGGACAAAAATAGAATTTACTTTCAGTTTTTTGGTATGGATGATTTAAGTCACATCAGCAATGCTATAAAATCCAAGTTGTTGTAGCTATATTCTTCCATATTCTTTAACAATGCAGTTGTTAATCACATATACAGTGAATTAAGTGAATAACTCAATTTAAGAAATAAGTCTTTCATCACTCATATAAAGTCTAGATAAATTCAATGATAAATCTATACCAATGACTCACAGTGAATAACAGAATACATACATACATAAACATACAGTTTCTCATACACTGATATTGAATTACACAGTTAAAATATTTGAAAGCATTTACACAACTTAACTTGGTAGAATTATTTCAACTTTTTTACAGTGTACCCATCAGTATTTGAGCATGTGTGATCATATAGTCATTATCCTATCAGCAGTACACACAGGGCAACTTATGGAAGGAATGCCGAGATGAGTGGCTGCCAACTCTGGAACTCTTTTAAGTGTGCACACAGTTAAACCTCGTATTAACACCCAATTATGGACCCACTATTCTCTATCAGACACTTTTTGCTCATGTCATGTGTCTGTTGTCACTTAATATAGCCACAAGTGCTTCAAAACAGAAATTAGCCTAGCGGTAATTGAAGAAAGAGACCAAAATTCCAGGTCAAAGAGGAGGTATAGGTAATTGTTATTTACTGTGCATGACCAGGACAGCTACAATATTGGATACTGACAATATAATGGGGCATTGCATCATCTACTAACCAGGACAGAGCCAGTGAGGCCTTCAAGCAGGTCCAGTAGTTTCTTCCCATCCTTCAGGTCGGAAAACATGTCTTTGATGGGCGTCTTTCCATTCTGAATAACATAAAAGTTTAGATAAAGTTTAGCTTTTTGGTTGACACATGTTTTAATACATTTCTGGTGTCGAGTGTTACCTTTGAAAATTGAGCATTGATCCATTTGGTGAAGGTTTTCTTTTGTACCGAATCATGTTCATCTGTGAAAAAAAAAAACAAAAACAAACTGTTAGAGGCAAGTTCGAACAACATAGGAGCATTTCAGTTGACCAGAAAAAATGCACCGGGCTTGTAAAAACAACATAGAAGGCAACGTGGGATGCACATTAGCCCAATAGATCAAAACATAAACATTTAAAGAAGAAATACTACTCTGAGCTGAAAACTTTTGTATGAATTGATTTAAACAGATTATATGGTATTATGTTTTATTATATTATATAGATTTACAGGCCTACTCAGAGGTATAATGCTTCAAAGTGAGGAGGTAAAAACACACGTGGACACGCCAGTCACTGCAGCGCTCCTGTTCTCCAGATTGGGCTGTATACATATTTCACATTCTCTGCCCACTCGAGCTTTCACTCAGCTCCTGCTTTAGTCTCAACCAACGTGCCTCTGTAATAAGGTTTCATTGTTTTCCAGGCACGGACAGAGTTGCTTTGAAGTGCTTTATGACCTGCAGATCAGAGTAGTCCAGGAAAGACCATTATTGGACCTAATATCTTTAACATGTCTTAATTTACTTCAATAGCGGTTTTAACATTTAAATTTGTAGATATTATTGTATGGGGATGGTTTTCAAATTGTAGCTTGCTGGACTCATCTCATTATGAAGTCTTTGATTTAGTCACTCACCTTGGCCAGGGTTAGATTTAATTTATGTAATATAATAAATTCAGTTAAATTGACATATTCCTTATGACCATGGATCTAAGTCGGGTACATCTTCGCAAAGCTGATAGTAACACTAACACAGAGAATAATTAAAAATGTATTCACATATTCATCCAGTACAAATATGTCTGTGGATGGTGTAAAGACAACAAGCTGTAAAATTGAATATGCAGACAACACTAAATTGAGCCCATAAGACAGCCCGCAAGACAGCCCACAAGACAGTGCATAACTTCTGGTTCAAGACGTAACAAATTTCTACAATTTCTTTCTCACAATTATCACCTAATTATGCTGTCATCATTCACCTGAGGTCAAAGGGCAGAAGTAACATCTGTTCCCAAATGCCAGAACAAGCATCATAGAGAGGAGAGGTTCAATGATTGCTGTGTGCATGGACATAAAACTGCCACCGTCATCCAACTAACTGCTGTGTAAAGCCCCATGAAGTGAACAACAGGTCAGGGGTTATGATGACTGGCTCCAGCAGTCAGCTCCATTGTTTTGGATGTATGTGGTGAATGTGAGTGCAGCTACGGGCAGAGGTGAGATGGGGCATAAAAACAAGAATGTACTGCAAGAAGGAGGCCGCAGCTGGGTCAGAAGACAAGACAACAGATGAGGGGAGAATAATGTGCAAAAGATTAGAGAAAGTTGCTTTGTGAACATAAGGATTTCTTTAAAAGCATACCTAACCAGGGACAAGTATGTCTTTGCTAAATTTGGGGTATTTTTTTGCACATAGATCCTGACAAATAAACAATAAATTTATTATTTTCCAGTTTTTGTTATTTCAGTTTTAAAATTCATTAACAATTTAGGTTTTTAAACCAAAATAGAAAGCAGAAAAATATATGTGCGAATCGTAAAATTTTTTGTGCAATGTTGAACCAATGCACTTGCACAATTTATAATGTCTATTCTCTGTGCTTGATAAAGAGATGTGAATTGTGATAGTATCCAGATGTGTATGTAATGTCAAAACAACAAATATGTCAAAACTATATATTTGTAAAAAGAACACTGAAAATAGTTTAGTGACAAAAGTTTTATGAAGAGCACACAGGTGAGTAACTTCCCTCCCTTTGCCTGACTTGCTGACACCCTGTGACGGCCCCCCGAGGCCTCAGAGGCTCCCAGTGGGCTCAGGTCTCTGGGCTCTGAACCTTTCCACCTCCACAGCACAAAGCACCCAATTCATCCAGGACACTCCCCCCACCCCACTCCCACCTGACGAGGGCTGCTCCTGCTCGGTCCGGCCAGGAATGTCCCACTGCAGGACGGATCAAAGCTCTGGCACAGCTGTGAGTCTCTCGGCTAAACAGGGATTGTATTAGCATTAGCGTTACACGTGTTCACTTGTTATTCTGTATGTTTTTATCAATTTCTACCAGTTTAATCTATAAATGTTGACAGTTACAGCCAGGATCTTACTGTTAAAGATCCTGTATTACACAGAATTGACTCTTGTGAGCTTGAAGTTATGATAAAATGTTACCTTCTCAAAAAGATACCTGGAGTTATGTTTTGTTTCATTCAGGCATGTAATCCTTTATTATTAGTCTGTCTGCATTTCAAAGCTCAAAATTTTTTTTTGATAGATTTTTTTTTCCCGAGCACATGTAAGAAATGTTTACATTTTTCAACGTGCATATATGTTTTACAAATATTAACAAATATTACTTACAAAAGAAAAGAAAATACACTGCATGCTTGAGAGGGAGTGAGAAGAAATAAAAATACTTATTTGCTCTGTTCCACATTGCGATGTCATGAAGTGATAGTTTTCAAGTTTACTGCTACCTTTTACCTTTTGTTCAGTAGAGGTTGGCAGTTACAGGGATGAAATTATCAAAATGATTTTAGTGAAGGTATTCTGAGTTTAAAACACAGCAGAGCTCTTTCTATACTACCACATGATAACTCAAGGGTGCTTTTTTTGCTTGGGAGAAGAACTCAGTTTAAGTATGTAGGATTTTTGTGGTAAACATGTGTGAATAAAAAAAAACATGACTCTGGGTATGTTTTTGATGAGGAAACAACATTATAACATATATCAGAAAACAGTGCAATACGGGCCCTTTAAATTCAGGGACTACACCCCATTGCATCTACAAGTATATGATGAGCCTGGAAAGAACCATTGCATAACTACATTTTAGATAAATACATCTGCTTTAAATAGTAACATCAACATTTGCAGGCCATACAGTTCATGCAATACCTCAGCCATGTTATAGAATCCACTTAAGCTGACAGAATAAAACTACGCACACACACCTCCAATGTAAACAGACAGACAGATAGTGGTGCACCATACACGTGGCTCTCACTATGCACACTATGAGCAGACCTAGCTTCATATTACACACACTCAAATGCACATGATACTTCTGATGCCTTCTTTATGATTTATCTGTTAGTCTATAAATCCATGTCTGAATTTGTTAACTGTAGCTCATTATGTAACAAGGACACAGGTTAGATGTAGGGCTGCTTAGTCAAATTGAAATCTGAGTAGTCTACAAGACTTAATTATCAAATCACAAAGACAGTAAGGCAATACAATGTCCACTGTAAACAATAAAATATCCTGTGTTTTTATTGGAAAATACTGCTCCTTAGTTTTTGACCTCTACAAACATGTTCTGAAAAGCATGGGATTCTTGTATTAGTTAAACAGTTCATATTTCAGTCTCCTTGCACTCTGAACAAAATCCTACTTTTCAAGCACAAATCACAATTGCAATTCGTTTTTTTTCCCAAATTCTTGCAGGCCTAGGTTAGCTGGCCATTTGAAAGATTTACCACACCAGTCATGTTGGCGCGTATGACTAAACTTGCACCACATTTCTAGGCAAAACAAATAGTAGGTTACAACTCTGACACAAGCTCATTTAACTACAGTCCAGCCAGTCGGATGTGAACAATATGTAAGGACAGGGTCAAGTACAGTAAGAGACACTTCCTCTCAAACCAAGCAGGAAGTTGTGATTACATCAGGAAGTAATCCTACTGGTGTGCTCTCACAGCTCAATAAATAGACATTATGAGATTAGGAATAGGATGTTGACTTTAGGGTAGTTTTAATAATGTGTTTATGAGTTATAATTATTAAAGCCTAGTGTTTATTATATAGAGCAATCAGGAAAGGCATGTGAGCTAACGTCTATGTAGTCCTTAAAATCACATTACTTGGAAATGCCTTACGGAAGCAAATGGACTGTAATGCTTTGGCTATTCTGACAAAAAAAAATAAAAATATTTATATGAGTTACACTAGTCAGTTGAGCAGTGAAAGCTTGTAATAGCAGTCCGCTCCAACAATGATCTCTTCACTGGGGGAACACCCTTCAAGAGCTGTAATTTTGGAGCTGCAATCATTCATCCAACCACCTTAATTTCAAACTTTCTTAATTATAACAACTTCAAGAACACAGTGTACACTTGTTAACATGCATCTGATTGTAAACCACCAGGAGGAGATACTCATAATTTTTCACCCATGGAAATCAAATGAATTTCTAAACATGGAAGAATAGTGAAAACATTACTGATGATGTATCTGTCAAAGCCAGCTGGAAACACATAACAGTCAGTCATATTAAATAAACAGCCGTAGCCTCTCAGTGTGTGCGCTTCTTTCACAGGTGGAGAGTTTGTGACCACACGGCAGGCCCAGTGGGAAATGGAGGGAGGCGGTGAAGTGAAAACCAAACAAACCTAAGAGTTACCACGGCAGCATCACACAGTCAACATGAGGTCAGAGCTTCAACAAATACACATATTTACAAAGTTTAGCCGCACTGTAGAGCACCTACTACAGCCATTAGACACATAAAATGGACTTGTTGTGATACATCCAGGAATACATTTATTTTCAGTGACAAAAATCAACAAGCAAAAAAGTAGTGGGATCATAAGCTATATGTGTACTGCATCTGCAATCACATTACAGGCAAAAACTGCTCAACTAGAACAATAATCATATTAAAAAGACATACTCAAACTGTAACTATGTAAAATAAAATACATCTTTTTTGTGGCTACTAAAGCAATACTTCTATTTATATAGCCTACTCCATCGTCTTTGGTACGTCGATACAAATTGATCTGTTAATATTGCATTAACATACGACTAACTCCAGTTATTTTTAAGTTTTATACAGTTTTTAATAATCATCACCACTACAAAATGTAGGTAGGGTTGTGCATTTAATTGAGATTTAATTGAGATTCATTCCATTAGTACCGATTGATTTGTAGAGATGAGTAAGGACACATGTTTTTCTCTGTTTTCCAG